AAAAGAAAAAAAAAAAAATCGAACTGAAAATGGAAAGGAAAAAAGACTACATCCGTACAAGACTACACCATCAGGTATGGGGGAGAGACTACTTGCTCTTGCTCTTGTCCTTGTCCCATACATCCACGTAAACATGGCCCAGAGGTCCTGCCTCTGGGCTCCATCCCCCATGCTCGACCCTGTACTTGTCACTATTGTCCAACGTTTCGACCAGGTTGACGAGTCTGCCTTCGCGATTGTCCCAGTGGAGTTCGCAAATCTTGGAGTCGCCATGGAACAGGTCCAGACGACCCTCACTGCCTCTACGTCCGTGAGCACAGATCTCGCCGATGCCGTCGGCCGGGATCACGATATCGTCGATCTCGTCTTCATGGAGCGATTTTCTACGATCGTTGGGATTGTGGAACTCGCCGCTACAGAGAGGTTAGCAATGGCCATGGCCGAATGAAAGAGTGCACATACTCTTCGATAACGGTGTGTCGCACGGAGATTTCGCCGTCCTTGAGGTGGTCCCGAATATGGAACTCGACCCATTTGGAATTGTATTTGTTCATGTCCTCCATGATGTATATGGTGTGTGGGGGGTGAAATTAGACCCGGAAAAGAGGATAGTATAAGAGAGCAATTAGCCTCGAATTGTCACTGAAGATTGATCAAGTAGGTGAGGAAGTAATGAACTGATCAGGCAGGAAGGAGGGGGGGGGGGGGGGAAACGACCGGTATTTATTGACTTCCATTGAGCAACAACTGTTCACTTCCTTCATTCTTTGGGGGGTTTTGGTGGATTGATGGAAGACGTCATGCGCTGGATCATATGACGAGACGATCAGACAATGCGGTTGGCCGATTCGGTCACCCGATCCACGGAACCCTAAACATTCTTTGCGGAGAAATCCTGGGGAACAACCAACCTAGAATACTGTTGATCCCCCTCTTTTCTGCATGCAGACGCTGTTCATAGGCCTGTGGAATGAAGCTTGGGTGGGGAAGAAATCGTCGCGTCATGCATTCATGTCCGCGAGTTTCAGACTGTCCTCCGTTGATCGACCTCCCCATCCCCCACCCGTAGTGATTTCCCTCTAACTTGTTGTAAATATGTCATTTTCAATGTTTGTCGTGTGCTTTTGTTTTTCTCTTTCCTTTGTTTCCTGTGGTTCAGCTGCCTGGTTCGATTAGTCCCTTCCTTTCTTTCCTGGAAACTTTGAGGAGACCCCTGTTGCCAAACCATCATTCCAACTGGTCAGTTTGGATCCTACCCCAGATGTCCGAAGGAATTGACTCTGCAGGTAGTACACACGGGAGGCTCCGGAAACGCCTCCGTGCCAATAGATCCTGGATTTCATATCTTGGTCCCACCACCCAATCCAGGGCTGGGTGTTGTTGTGGTGCCACGGCTGCGCCTGGCCGCAGTGGGCACGCAACCTGTCCAAAACTTGACTAACAGCACAGATGGCAACTCGTCGCTCCTCGGACGCGATGGTTGATCTGGGAAGGAATTGGTTATCTAATAGTTTCCAAAGGGGGAAAAAATAATCATTATGTTCGGCGTGTATTGGAATCCAGGCCATGCTGTAGCAACACATTGGACCACGTCGGAAAGGCGAGATCAACCAGAGCGATGAGTGATCGTCTCCGCAGATACTTGAATTGGTCAAGGCCCATTTTTTGATCCCGTGGGCACCAACAACAGTAAGCACCGAGAGCGAGTGCGAAAGTTAGAGCTGCGGTGGCAAGCCAACGAACTGGTTGCCTTTCTGTGGGGAATTTCGCTTGGCACGAGGCAAAGGTACTGAATTCAATTCACTCCCAAATCCCAGCATCACACGGTGGACAACGCCACTCGGCCTTCTGCCTGTGGATGGCACCTTCCCCTGCAAAAGGGGCTTCATACGAGCATCTCTCGCTGTAAATGGTCGTGGTGAAGGTCATCTGACGAAAAAGGACAATGTACATACTAGCTCAAAGAGGTCTCGTTGGTCAATGGCAGGGTATACTTAGTAGTAGTCAGTCAATGGGCCAACCGGGGACAGATGCGATGGGTTTGATTGTGAGGCCAAGCCATTTCCCATCCTCTAAGACAGCCAGATACCGGTTGTATTCTTATACCCATGTCTATATTATATTCAACACATTATAGTTTCTCAAATGACTAACATTTTCAAGGACCCCTTACCGCATAGTAACCTAATAGCCTCCTAACATACATGAACAGCGCTCAAGCCAGAATAGCTGGGAAATGACAAAGCACGGAACAAGGGTTGAGAGTCGAGTTTCTTTAATAAAATCATTCGAAAGAAAATCTCCTACTTGCGAATGGGTCCGTATATTTTCCTTCAATTTAATTTGTCTCTACATGCACTTCCTGCCGCACGCAGATGTGATCCATGTACCGAGAATTTTCTTCTTCGATAGTAGCCACAAGTGCTTCTTCGTCATTCTGCCCCGGGCCCGTCACATAAGATCGACTATTCCAATCGGGTCCGCGGTCGTTGGCATCGGGTATGTCGACAGTGGTCGTTGTAGTGGTCAGAAACTCGTCTTTTCGACCCGCCCGAGCGAAGTTCCGCATGGGCATCGCAAAAGTCGGTTTGTTACGGCTTCCACTGCCACTGCCACTGCCACTACCACTTTCATCTTGCCTTTTGTAGGCTTCATGGGACTCTTTGACACTGGATCCGTGGACGATGTACCGGTAAAGGGGACGGACGGTGGGAATGCCGACGCAGATAAGGGTGACGGCAAGCTCGACAGCAGACCAGATAATAAGAGGAACTGTGTCCTCTACAGAAAGAGAAATTGGGCATATATCAGCTGTTTGGATCCTTTGGGAAGCGGATGTGAATCACCTCAGACGTACCCGTGTAGTTAGCACTCGACAATCCGCCGAGCTCTATGGTGCGAATGATCCCACAGATACCGGCGCTGCAGGATGTATGTTAGCAGATTATCTATCCCCAGAGATATGGAAGGCTGACATGAATCCCAAGCTTAGACTAATAGCGATGGTCATCTTCTCCTTGAACCGCATGTTGAGTTCCCAAATGAAGATCCACGGCAGAATGGCGAAGTAAAAGTCGACCGCCGCACACCATGCTAAGCGTCAAACAAAAGGTGAGTAGTTCATCGAGCTGGAAAAGTTCTTGAGGATAACATACAACCAAGAAGCACTGAGAACGGGGTAACGCTGACAATAGTTCGGCCAGGTACACGAGGATCATAGATGGCCCTAGAGGGAAGGCGTTGGGTCCAGAAGATAATCGCCGTCATCACAGAAACAACTGCTAGACTGACCATCGAGATCCAAATCGAGATGCGATGCCATGGTTTCACCACGATTCGCAAAAGAAATATACCCAATGAAAGCTTCGCAATGGCCATCCCCAGCACGGCAAACGTCTGACCGACCATTTCCATGTACACAGCTTGGACGGCTTCGTCCATGGAGAGGCTAGTAATTGGCTGTCCGAACCCGTGCTGTCCGGCTATGGTGGTGAATGTCGTATATAAGAGGAGAAATACCTAGGCTCGAGAGTTAAGGATCGATACAGGGTTACTCGACGTTCAAAGAAACATACCCAGCCCAAATTGAACACATGATCATCCAGCCCCAGAGCCTTGACTATATAAATCCTCGTGTACAGCCGTAAAGGCACAAGAACGAAGGACATAATAGCCATTACCCACATCACTGCGATTGCCTTGACCCCTTGGCCAGCCAGCATCTTGAACGCACTTGGGGAAGGAACTACGACAAGAGGAAATACTGGCTCAGCAACGCGCAACTTGTGCGACAGATAAAAAGTGGGATCAAAGTTGAAGATGAAGGCATCGAGGGCAGAGTGTGAACTAGCTTAGATATATGCGGTTGAACTGTACAAAGTACCTTTGATGCACATCCTCCCTTTCACCTGTGAACTATCAACAACCCGTGTTTTCCTGTTCATTTAGACTAACTCGAGATACGACAGGAGAGATACTGTACACCCTCCTTCACGTCCCATGGGTCCAAGCTTCTAGCTCACTACTTTGTACTTTTATTTTGCGATCTCCCAAAAGCCTCACTTCGCTCCCCGGATACTGGTCATATTCGAGCGCGTACGGATCCACTGGTCTGCGAATAAAGTTTTGTCAATGCCTATATCCACTGTCTACCTGTCAGTTCGACCTAGCGCAACGGCTGTCGGTCTGTGCCAGTGGAGCTATCCAAATTCCCGGGTGTGAGAGATGCATCGTGGGTAAGTCTTATCCTAAATAGTAAACGAGTCTCTCGGGGCAGGCGGAGGAAGGCTCCGGAAGAACCAGTAGATTGGCTGTTAGTCTCAATGAGAAGGTACTTTGGCAACGGGGAAGAGCAGGTGAAGCAGCCAAGGAATTTTAGGGGTAGGTGCGGATGTCTTCATAGCGCACGGCGTGCATTAGTGCGTGTTCTGGGCCCAGCATCAGAGCGTCGATGGCAGACGCATTGGCCAATTGTATACGGGGATCACCTCGTGAACTTTTTCTCTCAGACGCTCTAAATACTGGGAATACTCTGACCCTGGTCTCTAGAGATTATTTGCTTGTTTCATCTCCAGGGACTTCATCCTCAACTGATTCCAAAAATGGATTATTCCCTGTCTTTGGCGCTCGACTATAGCCTAAGAGGCTTTGCCGTCTCGCTATTTGGCACACTGTGGATAGCCTTGGTCTTTTGGTATCTAGCGACCTATCTCATTTCTCCTTTACGCAGGATCCCTGGTCCTTTTCTCGCGGGTGAGTTGTGGAGGCCCTTCGCGCCAATGCTTGGATGCTTTGCCGCGTCACATTGGCCTTGATTGTCGTCACTAACCACTCGGCCGTAGGATGGACCAACCTCTGGCGGATTTACCATGTTACGCAGGGACAGTCTCAGGTGGTCCTCCATGAGCTTCACCGGAAATACGGCCCTGTGGTGCGTATAGCCCCTAATGTCGTCGACTTGGATCTACCGGAGATGATCAAAACAATCTACAACACGAAAGGGGACTATCGAAAGACCGAATTTTACCATGGCAGTAGTGCCAAAAGCAACGGCCGAATTATTTATAACTTATTCAGCGAGTGTGACCCTGATATCCACGCGCAGCAAAAGCGACCTATTGCTAAATATTACTCCTTGACGGGTGTCCTGCCCCTTGAGCCTCATATTGATGAGGTGATCAACTACCTCTGTCAGAGGCTGGAAGAGGAGTTCATCGATGGATCGAACGCCGGCACAACATGCAAATTAGACCAGTGGCTACTGTTCTGTATGGTTGCCTTTTCTATAGCCAGGCTGTGATGAGTACTGATTGAAATAGATACATGGGACGTGGTAGGACAAGCCACCTTCAGCGAGCCCATCGGCTATCTTAAGAACGGTTTTGACTTCGATGGCACGATCGCGATCTCTGACACCGCCATGGATTATTTCTCTCTCGTTGGACAGCTTCCAGTCTTGGACCATCTCCTCGACAAGAATCCTATTTATCGAATCGGGCCCCCGGCCTTCGGTAATATCACCAACATCTCGATACAACATCTGCTTGACCGATTGCAAGGCAAGGACACCAGCTACCACGACGCAAGTAAGCCCGATTTCTTAGACAGGTTCATCGATGCCAAAGACAAACACCCCAACATTGTCGATGACAGCCAGATTATCTCGTACCTCATGATCAACATGATCGCTGGTGCAGATACAACAGCCATCACGCTGAATGCGGCCATTTATTTCGCATTGAAGAACCCTC